ATGTATAGTTAAAAACTAAAGGATTTAATCATTAATCTACCACTTCAAGCCCTGTCTTTAATTTGTAGGCAATATGATTTTTTCATCTCATCAGAACATTATATATAGCTTTGTACATATTGGATTCAACACTTACATATATGATATTTTTATCATGTGCCTTTTGATTTCGACCTACTTTTAGGAACATCATGATCGTGATCTCTTCCTCTACATTGCATACAGTGATGAAAGTATATACGGATCAGTGGAAGACTGCATATCTTCATGAAAATTCAATATTGGTCAAGGTCCTATTTTCAAAAGTTTATTGGGTCTGTGTTTCTTCCCACATCACTCTACCAATATATCTATTGTTACCACACATACGCAACATATGATCAGTCATTTCCGTTGATTTTTTTCAGTCATGTTTTCTTTAAAACTTACACAGTGTTTTAAGTATTCATCTAATAACATTAATAATTATGTGTATTTCACCTTTTTTTCTTGTTATTTATTAATTAAGAGTTATTAAGTGGAGTTCGCATTTTGTGCAAAACAGTTATTGTGAATGACATTCATTATTTTCATTTTCAGTAATTTGACTGAAGACGAAATACATTTTGTAAAAGCGTACATATTTGTTCTTTTTTGGCTTGCTTGATATGAGTTCGTGAATTTTTGGATAATAAGGTTTAATGTACGTGGTGTCACGTAGCATTATTATGACTTGCTAACCAATGGAGTTCTGTTGCGAATCAGAATTTCGTAGGTTGTGTCAGTTAAGTCACTAGTTATGTTATTTTTCAGTGTTGGTTGAAGTCTAAGTCTAGGGGTTAACGGTTGCTTTTGGTTTTAATGTAGGATTGTAAGGCTTCATCGGTGTAAGCAGGTAACATAAAGAGATTGGAAGTATACCTAATCAATCGTGACATTAGAGTATCCATTTCGTATGAGTGAATAAGTTTAGAGGTGCAATATAATGATAGTGGGTCATTTGATTAATTAGAGATCTTCCGGAATCATCGGAGATGTACCATTAAATATTAAGCCATCATTTATTTTATAGTATGATAATAACTGACTTCAAGGTTAGATGAGCGCAATTTTGCCTTTGAAACATGAATTTAGTGAGGTAATTAAACTTCACTACTACTGGCTTTATGTATTTATTTATTGGAGGAAATTAAAACAATGACTCCATGTCATCAATATGACTTACAGGGTTGTATAATATAGTTTTAAATCATCAATATTCTCTCCTAATCTATACCACCAAACTTAGTTGGACGTAGAATCTGGTAATTGGGAATTAGTTGTTAATGTCAGCTAGTTATAGACCTACTATTAATTTTGCTTCGTTTCTATAGAAAACATAACCACTGAAGATATCTATATGAGGATTGATCGTACAGTATATCTTATAATCTGGGATCATGTACAGTGCAATAAATGATAATTAACCAAAATAAAAATTAGGCGATAGGAAAAAAATTGGTTTGAGTTGTGTTGAATTAAAGAATGCTGTTTGGAAATATGCAAACAAAGTTAATGTACATGTGTTATATTTCTAGTCTTCTAAACCTATTGTTTCTTATTAATAGTTGGGTAAATTTAGGAACTCAATAGTCCTGTCAGTCATCCACTTGCCTGTTTCAGTTTGTGTTTGTGGAGATTCTTGTTTATTATTGAGGATCATAAACCAAGCTGGGTTAGACAATTAATAAAAATCAGCAAGCACTGGATATCGACTCAGTTGTTTGGATGTTAAGGTTTCACCTTGAGACGTGAAAGTCCTCGGTTGGATCATCGGTATGGTATTGAATGGATACCGTTAAATAGTCCTATACTAGGGTAAAACTGTTGTCCTGGTTTTTAGTGGTTGCCTCAAGTTATGTGCTTCAGTTTCGCAATATCAGTATTCTAAAGATTTCATTTTACGCTTATTCACACCAAATGGTTATAAGCTAAACGAGTTCACGTCCAAATAATTTTGATCAATGAATACTTTATACTGTTGCCCTTAAAGCCTTACACCTTAATATTGGCTTTGCCTATCCACATCGTGTTTCTAAAATCCTGATGCTTATTCGCCTGTAGTTATATTTATGTTGAATCTCACTGACCATATTTCATTTGTGTAGTCATTAACTACTGATCAGGTTGATAAGTGCAGATTACCTGATTGGAATCCGTCTGATTATCGTGATCAAATCACTGAAGACATTGGATGACATGACTCAGAATCAGTCGTAGTGGTGCAGATACATTCAATTTTTTGTTTTCCCTTGGATCAAAGTTGTTACATACTTTTGGTTCCGTGAATTCAATCTTGGATCATATTACCTAAAGCTAATCTCTTCTGTTATCACTGGTACGGCTACTACTTCTGTTACGGCATTTTTCTTAAGATTTTCATCTCTCTGTGCTAATATGATGTACCAACATATGTGCCAGCTTCTATGTTACTTGTGACTGATTAACTGACGGAGTTGTGAAGCAGAATACTAATCACTTCTAAATATTAATGTGTCTTGTTATTCATTCAGCACAGTATTTACATATATCCGTGTTCATAAATTTAACATGTGACAATATTTTTGAGTGGTTATACTTTAATTGTTTGTTTATCAAATTTTTCTGTGAATGTATATGGAATTTTATCATGTAATTTTCGATAATTATAGTTCATCGGTTCAAGTTGTTATAATTTAGAGGGGCCAAGAGTCCGCGAAGTAAAGTAATTATGAGTCCATTTTGTACCTGATAACATGAGTGATTGTATTACCTGTTTACCAACATTCCCAGCTGTCCCCCTCCAATGTTCTTATGATCTTTTGCATATTTGGTTAGTTTAACAATCTGTTGATATGAAGCGAATATTAGAGAAACTGAAGCTACTTTACAGACCTATTATTTCTTTTGTTGTATAATTATTAGATAATTGGATTATTATATTTCTATTCTTGGTATTGTAAATTTCTGTTAGACCCACCAACTATTGTTATACTTCCTACCATTTTTTAATTATTACTGATTAGTTGTGTACCATTGTCTTTCACTTATATGGCATCATCGTGTGCAAAGTATTTCTTAATCGGAGTGCATTGCTGTCTGACGATCCATGCATATGAACTGATGAGTGTTTGAGATAAATATGCTAGGTTCCCTCAATATAGTAATAGAAGCTCGCCTGACTTGTTCTCCTATTCTAACTGGAGACTAATGGTAGAAAGTATGCGTACCGGTGGATCAATAAGAGCTAAGATTATATCGGCTCCTGTTCAAGGTTAATTTCGACAGTTGTAATATATCAAAGCGTAGGACACTAGGCTATAGACGAAATAGTACACTTGGGGTAGAGAAATTATGGCGAGAATTCTAAAAGACAGATTTTCTAGATGTCGATTGACATTCTCATTCACAGCACAGTTATATCAATTGCAGTGTTAGATAAAGCAATTTACATTTTACACGATTTGGACACATGTAGATTCAGTGTTCTACTGTCTATCTTTCGTACGAACAGTTTTTAATCATTCATTAATGCCTAATAATAAGATGGTATCTATTTTATCATTAAATGTTTCCCCTTTGGTATGTTACGAAAATTCTGTGCTTTGCGTTTCACTTTTTCATATAATAAATACTAGTAAACTAATTACATTTTGAATGATTCATGGGTTTTCCAAATTTTTTGTTGTTACATGTATCAGCTGATTGTTCATTCCATAAACGTATGATTTTGTTTGATCGAAGTATAATAATTGTTATATTTTATGAATCCTTTATTAGTTTTACACTCCCTTTCATTTGTATTTTGACTTTTTTAATGTAATAATAAATCGACTACCTAGTTTACAGTGTGTGATCTGTAAGGAAGTCAGATGACTACTTTTTTATTAAGCAGTTGATAGTATTGTTTTATTTGTGTATGTCTATATGCCTGGTAGCTTAGACTGTTTACTTGATGTGTATTGCCTTAACATTTGTTTGGTGATATAAATTCTACATCTAAGTTATTCAAAAAATATTAAACTTATTCAATACAATCTAGGCGGTTAATAGATATATTTAGAAATAGTTACTTATAGTCAGTTGCTTCATACGTCGGGTATGACAGAAGTAATCTAGAAGAAATTTAAGAGCCTCTAAATCAAAAGATGTTATTAGTTCATTAACTCATTGACTTTTTGTTTGAGTCGTGCTGGTATATGGCAGTCCATCTGATTGTAGTTTACACCATAACCACTGTCATAGGCTTCAGGTAATATGACTTGAAATCGATCACTGACTCATGCCCCTTTTATCTTCTCCCAAAACATTAGGTTCAAGTACTTCCTCATACATACTTCATTTTCACTCGTTCTTTTCGAACCATACTTTCAGTGTTGATGTTTCTTAACTGTCATTGATATCACCATTATTTCGATTCCTCTGCTATTCATCTTGTCAATTTTGTCTCTTTATGCTGGTGTAGCGTGGCTAGTTGAGCCTATTAATCCTTTTTACCAGACTTTACGGTGATTATGACTGACTGTACATTTAAAGTGTGATTATATTTGGTCTGAGGAATCGGTAATCGCAAGGAAGTATATCAATAACTAGTTTTTTTTCAAAGAATCAACTAGTGTTTTGCATGAAGTAGAGTTTCGCAATTTATATTTATAAACTGATGTCGATTCATCCATAGTTTAACTAATGACTTCTTGTCTGCCATAGAAATAATAGCATATTCATGGAAAGCAGTTTCTGAAACTCTATTTTTGTATTATGATATTGTTGAAGGAACCTAATACATGCAGTTATAACGTATCGAAAACAATTAGATCACATAGACTGGCATTTTGTCGAATAACCATTTTGATTCTCCCGTTATCGTACTGTAAGTATCAAATGTAAAAGATACCTGGTAAATAATAGTTTTTTTAGATTTCTTTAGATTCTATAATGTTTAACTTATAGATGAGAAAGACTAACCTCTATTCATTAATGATTATTATTATTTGTACGTTATAGTACAATACCTATGGTTACATCATTTATTTCAACATTGAATATAAATACTGGTGTAGCGCAACTTAGCGCCTGGCTTACTAGTCAAGCTATTCATGTACCTCCTGGTTGGATTGATGCTTGTGTGGCTTGGCTTGCTGAAGAGCATGGAGGTATTGATGCATGTAATCATCTTACAAAGTCTGATTGGTGTCAATTAATATATGAGCAATGGCTTCATTCTGATTTGAAGCAGTTAGAATGTCCAGTTCTACCGTCAACTATATCTACTTCAAGAAATCCCCATGACAATTCGCTTAGCAGTGGTACTGATGCAAATACCATGAATTCACCTGCACTTAAGCTGGATGGTGAACTTTGTCTCCAAGTAAGCTTTGTGATACAACTCATTATTGGATTTGTACGTTTAATTTTGTAAACGTTTATTATTCTAAATCGATCAACATTGTGAATACATTTAAAACATCAAGTAATACATATCTATTAGTTGGTAAAGTTATCAGTTCAGTATGATCTACTTTAGCGAGACACATACTTAAAATGTTTAGTCGTATCGATTTGATTTGTTGACAATAGTAATTATGGTGTTTATGAACATTAGGTTTAACATTATTTCAATCAACTGCCTACTTATTGTATGTGATGCACAATGGCTTAGTGACTAAACTATCCTACTTTCAGCCAGTAGGTAGTAGGTTTGAAATTCTTTTCTGTCTACTTTAGTATGGGTAGCCGAATAGTATTACTAGCTTTCATACACGGAAAGTCCAGTTAAAAGTCCCGAGCACATGGAATTGTACTTGATCAATCAGTTATACTAATTAACTGATTATCTTTTTTGAAATATTATGGTCGCTTAATAAGGCCTATTCGTCCTGATTCTTGATAACTGTCGAAATGTAGTTAACAAATTTTCTGAGACTGTATAAGTGATATGGTGTGCCAAAAATTAAGCCTAATAATTAAGCATTAACTCTGTTAAAGAGTGATTTGTGGTTCCTATGTTCTTAGACTGTCTATTTATTAAGTGACTTCTAATCATGTTTATACTTATTTTCAATATCTTGAATATAAGTGCATTATTTCATTAGGAAAATAAACCTGTTCTACTGAGCAACTGTCTTATCTTCAGATATCAGTATGATTGATGACTCACATCAATAGTTCAGTTTCGTAAGTATCCATCACTTAACTACGTATTGTCATATAATTGCATATCATCTATCAATCGACATTTTATCCACTCACTTTAATAACAAATTTCGTCCATAAAATCCCACACCATTACGGTACGATTTATATAGTCGATTTGTCTACAACTGTACTATATTTGCGAGTGTTAACTTTTTCTCATTGAAACAAAAATTCTAAAAATGTTATAATTGATAATTCATTGATTTACTTGTTTAATTTAGGTTGTCAATTTATTCAACATAGGTGAATCATACTATGGTCAACTAAGACGACATGAGGGTAATTTGAGCGTGAATCTACCTTCATTGGAAGTAGACGGTGAAAATAATCCAGATGGACATACTACACAAATGACACAAGCTTTTAGTCAATATCTTAATCAAAGTCGTAAGTAGATTGTGTTATATATTTTCTACATTGTTCTTGATTAAATGGCAAAATCTACTTCGATAGTCAATTGCAAATGCTTGATTAAAATCTATTGATCTGATGATTTTGTGGTAGATATATTACTCAGTTGCTCTCAGTGAATCAATAGAAGTGTGTTTAATCATGTTACTTAATAATTAATCGTCTTTCCGCTCAAACTCAAGGTTTAGGTGTGCAAGCATCTATCAAACATTGAAGCATATTAATTTTTTTTTGTGGATAAAGTGAGTAAACATACTACTCAACTGCTCGAAATAAGCGGAGGGTATTGAAACACTGTTTACATCGCTTAAATACTAATGTTCACATATATCCAGTACGTCATTATTCTCTACCTTTAAACATATTTTTTTCGTGTTCTCTTCTCATATTTCTGTTGAAGCAACTCAAACAAACAATTTTAGACAGTCAACAATGGCCAATTGTCTCACTCTATTTCTTACTGATGGAGTAAATGAAATCAAAGTTATTGAATTTGGCACCCAATCCACAAGATCACGATCTTCTTTACCTTTTAAAGAATTATCAAAAAAACTTCGACCTGGAGTAAAAATTCGTCTACGTGGACCATTACTTTTACGTAATAACGTCTTACTTGTTCCTCCCGGTGCTTTACAGTCACTATCAAGCCATCAATTGGAAGTTTTAGGCGGTGAGGTAACTAATATCTATGTGTATGGTTTTAGTTTTTTACGGGGATGTCACCTTGTGAACTCTATTTTTACATGACGATAGGATCTGTACTCCCTATAGATATGTTAATAATCTTATAAGCTTTAAACGTCTCCACTACAAGTAGAGCAAGGTCACAAAATCTCAATAGATACTTGCCAAAGTCCCAGTAATATTCTTTACTTGTTGAAAAATGCATTTATGTAAGGTCCTCCTGCCCTCGAACTCCATTTTCAGCTATGGTTTTAAATGAAAGTCAGCTGTTGTTACTTCAACAGCTAATTTTTTAAGTTTCACAACTCTCAATAGTCAATCTTATGTTGATTCTCTTATTAATGTAAACACATATTTCTCGAGTTTAAGGTTCATGATACATGCAATACATTCAAAATGTTGTATACTTTGTCAGTCAAATAAGCTGAGAAAAGCAAGTCGTTTTAATAATTTTTTCATCAATAAAAAGCGAAATTACAAAACCGTATTTGACAAACAAATATCTTATTCCGAAAAACTTAATTATCACTCCTATTCAACTTGTGAAGTGCGATGATTAAAGTTAAATGGTAGATTTGTGGTTCGGTTGGATTCAAACTGTATCTGCCTACAGTCAATCGGTTGGTCATAATATATATAGATCCTGATATAAATGTATCTCGGCTTAAGCTGGCACATCATACCAATACCACACATCAAGGGGAGTCGAAATGAAAGAGTAAAGCTTAACGTGGAGAATATGATTCGGTAATACAGAGTTAAATAAAAGAGAGTAGAAATTATGAAATGGCATTAAAACTCAAGATTGGTAAGAAAACAAAAAAAACTCATTTGGTCACCGTAACCGATTCTGTGTGATGTCTGTTTATTAAGTAATATATTATCTTTCGATACAAAAAGGGTCATAAAACAACAACAGAGACCGAACAATTACAATCATGATTTTCAGCACTTGAAAATCATAAACCCTTGCTAATACTTTCCCAGTCGTTGAACACGTTAATAGCTATGTATCGTTACCAGTCCTTCAGGTTGTACATATCACAACAGAGACTTATCATTTGCAGTTCTAAATATCAATAGGAAATTATAATCACCCGACTAAAACCTAAAGAAAATTTACAAGATTTTTACTGAACCCATTTTATTCTGCATCACTCATTGTTCCTGCCGTATTCATATGAAAAGTTTACTTTTACTTTGACTAAATTGAACAATATTGATCAAATTAACACAGTGATAAGAATGGCTTATAATCTAGTACTAAAGTTCGATCGATTAAAATATGATTTACCGAATATTTAATAGTTCATTTTTGATCAAGTTCAATCCTTCTTCTTTTTTATGGATATCCTTTCAATGTGATCAGAAATGTGCAAATGTTAGTTTGCTCATACTCACTGACTAACTCTTTTATTTATGAGAAATAATTTATGCGATGTTTATCAAAAAACCTTTTCTAATGAGTTCATAGTTTGTTTGTTGTTATGAATAGTCAATCAGTCAATCATATGCAACATAGAACCTGGGATGTATTTTAGTTCAAGTTACTAAGCCGCATTATTTCAACGATATAAAACTATTCCTGGACAAATCTCAAAGTAGTAGAAAACATTAAGTATAGGAAAAGAAAACAGGTGTAAGAACATTTCGAAACTCGGATTTTAAGTGAAAACAAAAACGGAATACATCTGTGCTATTCCTAATGATCCTGAGCCATATAAAAAGTTCTTAAGTGTTGGTTACGACAATTCTGAGGACCCCAACCAGGTAATCTGCATCCACTTACATGGCTGAATCAATTATGCGATAAATTTGCAGATAAGATGCGAAATAATTACTCAAGTCACCCAAAAGAATTGATCTTATGAATCATTGAAAATCAATAAGTAATTGATAACTGTTTAGCTCTTCATTTAGTTTGTAATGTTTTTTTCTGGATAATTCGATTGTTGATATTTTTGACCGATCGAAATTGAGTCGAAAATACCAATAATTGTGATAATCCAAAACCATTACAAATTGTATCAAAATCCATACCTGTTGCACAAATGACTGGTTATGTGAACTCAGTAGCTAAGTAGATAACTTATATCTTCTTTTTGAACGCCAGATTCGGCTCCTAAGCTCTGCTAGTAACCCCGAAACACGATGACGAACCTAGTCGAAAATGCACTCATTTATATATTGATTGTACACCCATTTTGATTAATAATTAGGATGAAATCACATATATAACAAATCATATGCTGAATATAGTTTATGTTAACTTGATGCAAGAATATCGTATGTTATATGGGAAAACAAAATAAATACTACATTGAGTAATCATTACATTGGATTAAAACGAAAATAATGTTGAACAAAAATCATACTGAGTGAATCAATATAATTTTGACTTTTCTTTCCATCATATCAATAACTCATTAGGTGGTCGAAATGAAAAGTACTAGCTTCGAATCGCGAAGTAAACATCAGCTCTGAGATGTAACTACTTTCTTGTCCTATAGCCGATCAATTATCACGTGACAAGATCGTCAATCAGAACACTGACTTTTACGACCTCAGCCCTGTGCCGAACCAATGATGCGTTAACCAGCACGAGCAGCATAGAGTCTACTCTGAGTTTTTATTATTTCTTCTCACATAACCCTGTCTGTTGAATCCAAAACACAATCTCAGCTTCCGCTGTATAAATCACGTATTTCAGACATATGTAGTTTATATACAAGCAAATCAGACCTCATGATATCGTAAAATACAAAATAACGGTTATAAAAGATCTAGCCGAAAGCAACTGTGAATATGTGAAAGACTGTAACTAGTAGATTGGAAATAAATTAAGAATAGTTAGTCGTATAATAGTAGTCAATATATCGAAAGAAAGTTTATAATAAGAGAAATACAAATATATATAATCTAGTTACTTGATAGTTATACAATGAGACTGTCTGCATAATAACAGTCCATAAATAATTCCTAGCAGTTACCATTCATTTATTCTTCGTTCGGATATAATAGGTACATATAACTGGTGGGTCCCAAATAAGACCAAACATCTATCCTGAATTCATCTGCTAGTCACATTCCACTTGTTTCATAAAACATCTCTTTAGTGCTCACCCTTAACACTGCGCAAGTCAGTCACAGGCAATGTCGGACCTGGCATATATTGAAGCTACCACATCATATCAGCACAGTGAAATGAAATTATCAAGATGAATGCCAGATTAATAGGAGTAATAACAGTAGTAAAGAAGATTAAGCATAAATATTATGACCCAAGAACGTATTCATGAAATATAAAGTGTTCTATAATTTTAAGAATCATAATGTAAGGGAGGACAAAGATTAGATCCATCTGCACCATTAAGACCAATTTTTAAAAAAATATCATCCAAAATCTACAACCGTTGGTTATGATAATCGTGTAGACTTGAATCAATTGATGTGCGTCTACTAGCGCAGCCCTATTCAGAAATTAACAGCGTCGTTTCTTGCAATGTGCTCAGTTGTGGTTGACTAATTCATCCACATTTGTTATGCTAGTTCACAATTTATCACAACCATTGTAAGATGCCATTCGTGTAAGTCATTGCTTTACTTCCAACTTGACTGACCATGTACACATCCGTACCTCCAAAAAAGGATAAGACAGAATATCAAATACTCTCTGATTGTATCATGATTTCTCAACTGATTTAATTCTTAAACATAATTCTACACTTAATTTGAATAAAAAGTAAAAGCATAAATATATATTCAGATAATGATTCATTTGTAAAGTCCATGCAAATTAAGCTGTACAATTTATAGTTAGCCATGAAATAATATCAAACATTCAGTCTATATTTCGTTAACAAGTTCTTTTATAAATAAAAGTATATACAACCAATAATAACTAAGAAAAAAAATGCTGGGCTTCCTATTTTATTTATAATTCAAAGAAAAAAAATAAAACGTTTACAGAAAATTTTGAATTTTTCCGGAGGAGGACGTATTACCAAATATAGTGTACTGTCATACAGAGTTGATTACCACCATGTATAAGCTGCTCAGTATTAATCTGTTTAGACTTTAGGATTGATCAATGTTGTCTTGATTGATTTCAAGACCAAGTGATCATCAATTTACTGTATTGATATTATCATTCTATACATTTGTTTAGACATAAAGTCACTCTTAGACTTCTTCCAGCTAACTCTTATACTAACTAACCTATTGAGATGTGTGAATAACTAGAAATATGTGTAACACATGTTATAATCATTTCAATGGGGTGAAGGTTTATATCTGCATCAACCAATTTTCTACTGTTATCCTAAACTTTACTATTAATCTTATCCATTCGATTATTTCCTCGTACATGACCATCGCTTTAAACACAGTTGCACAGACCATATTTCACTGTCGTGAATTATTACGAAGTCAACTGTTTCACTGCATACTTCCCCACTGACGAACAAATAAGACATCTTATCTATACCACGCATAGCATAAGTTGATCAATATTGGGTAATCATTTTTTATCCATGCTTAGATTTGGTTGTTCACCGACTTAAAATAAATGAGGCGATCAATAATCCTAATTAGTTCTCTTTCTATAGTGAGGGAAGGCATAAATTCTGACTTGTCCTATATCGGCATTTTTATGTATTGAAATTTTATCAAAAGTTAAGTAATGATAACTAATGTGGAGGAGTCCTAACAGACACTGTGTAATGTAGCTGATTCAGCTAAAAGTTCACTGTAATCTCTGACTCTATCAATAGTTTTCGTGTGAAGGCCCTTCAGTAGGTCACTGTACTTCAGTACTTATTTTAATGACAAATAGCTCATATAAACCTGTGGTTCAACATAGTCAGATGTAGCTTTCAGGTAAAAAACAATGCAACCACAATTGTATGTCTCTTGATATTACAATGTTCTACTACTTACTACAGAGTAGAGGTTGATAAATCCACGATCTAGACTAAACTCTATCTTACTTT